GTCCTTCTGCCTTCCTGTCCTTTTATTTCTCCTCTCTGTTAGTCCCGCCTATCCTTCCTGCCTAGCCACAGCCGATCAAGTTTTATTTATTGATCAATCAGAACAACTTGACATACAGACCATCCCCCAGCACAGCCAAGTGCAGACCATCTCAGACACCTGCACTCAGGCCCATGGTCCTAATCATCCTCTATGCGGACCTGCTGGGTAACGCCACAAAGAACCCAAGAAGGGCTCCCACAGGACATACAGAACATCCCACAGCATGCCCACCATCAGGAGAATTAAATTTCTCCTTATAATGGTAGACTCATTTTTAAACTGGGTGGAGGCATACCCAGTTTCTAATAAGCGAGCTCAGACAGTTGCAGACCTCCTTCTCTGAGAAATCATTCCTCAATTCGGGATTCCTGCATCTCTTCAGTCTGATAATGGTCCGGAGTTCACCTCCTAGATTTCTCAGACACTAGCTAAGGCTCTCAATATTCCTTGGCATTTTCATATCCCATACTGTCCTCAGTCCTCAGGGAAGGTAGAGCCTACCAACCGATCTTTAAAATCCATTCATACTAAGATGTCACAGGAACTTCACATCGACTGGGTAAAATTATTGCCTCTGGCTCTTTTCAGACTCAGGGCCCTTCCCAAAAAGCCTCTTTCAGTTTCCCCATTTGAGCTGATGTATGGGAGGCCGGCCTTAACACCAGGCCTCCTACCCAAATCTTCGTGTCTTCCAGATAGCCTGTTAACTCCTCTACTCTGTCATCTCAGGTCTGTTCTCTGGAACTTGGCAGACCATTCCTTACCTCAGCCATGTGATAGTTCCTGCCCAGCCCCAACCTACATTGGGGATCTGGTTCTTCTTTCTCCTACAGGCCAGCGCCCCTCACCCCTTTTCCCTAAATGGCAGGGACCCTTCAAGGTAATTCTTGTAACCCCCACAGCTGCTAAGCTCGAGGGCTTTCCTCACCGGGTCCACCTGTCCCACCTGAAGCCTTTCACTTCACCTCCATCCCAGGAAAATCTCTCTTCATACACAGTCACACAGACAGAGCCCTGCTCTCTCATGTTACAGAGGACACCAGGATCCACTGACCTGCCACCAATTGCAGAACAGTGAAGTCCCAACCCAGGTTTTCCTTCCTGATTCCCACTCCTAATTAAGTACTCAGCTAATTGTTACAGAACCACCATAGGGCCAGAGGCAGAGGACCACTGAGAACATCCAGGTGGTAAGGAATAGTAACAGTCCTCAGCAATTGATCATCTGTGTCCTCTGGATGCTAAACTAATAAAGGAAACAGGTGCCTTAGAATTTGTCTCAGATAAGACATATCTCAGGTAAAACAAACAAACAACAAAACAACAAAACAAAACAAAAAAACCCACCTAAACTCCAGAAAACCAGCTTGAATTCATCTGGATGGACTGGATCTGCTTTAGAATAAGTATAACCCAAACCTTCCTGGTCCTGGGACCCCCTTCTTCCTCCCACCTACCTAACCCTGGGACCCCCTCCAAAAGAAAAAAAATAACAATAACAATAATAATTCTTTTTTTCTAAGTTCTCTCTGTCTCACTAGTGCTCTCCCAGACACAAGCAGTCACGGAGCCCCAAGCTGGGACAGATGGATGGCTCCAGGACAGCAGATGGTAGCCCACCATCCCAGGACACCTGACTACCCCAGAAACTCCCTTCTACCTGCCCCTTGCCCCCAGACTCAGCTGATGCCCACCAAGTCAGCTGGAAGCAGTTTTGGGAGACACAACACCCCCATACCCGCTTGTCCACCATCTTTTATGAAAACAAAGAGTTTGGAATGATAGTCATGGACCAGTAATCACGCATGCTCTGGCAGGACAGTCATTTCTACCCAGTCGTTTCTGGGTCATACATCCTACATCAACCGGTCCGCTATGTGGTCATGTAATTTGCACGCCGCATGACCCTCTAATCTATGCTCATGGGTGGAGTATCCGCGTGGACCCGAGTGCGCATGTGCAGGCTAGTCCTTAAAAGGTGGGCCCGCATACCCTGTCCTCTCTTTTCATGTGTTTTCCACAGGCCTGAGCACATCTTTTGTTGTTCTTTCTCTCTCTCTCTGTGGGTTTCCCCGTGTTTGTGTCTTTTCCTCTCTGCAGAAACCAACATCCTGTCCACTGAGCAAGATGACATCTCCCTCACTAGGACCTATGACTTCCCCAGCTTCGGATGCTTGTAGCTTTCCCCTGTAGAAGAGGCCTCCGATCTGACCCGAGAACAGACTTCTCATCACTGACGTCCGTCACTGACGTCCATCACTGACGTCCATCACTGACGTCCATCACTGACGTCCCACTACTGCATCAGTGGGCACGTCCTTTCCTGCCACTCTTATAGTGTAGTACTCAGGGCCTACAGCTCTGTAACACCCTTGAAATCAAAATGGAAGGGAAAATACTGTGGGGGAAAGGCTTGAGTGAAGAGATGGGACAGGGGCATGACAGAGAGGAGGAGATGGATGAGAGAGATGAATGAAAACTACGGCTGTATGAAAAACCCAGAAAGAAGCCTGAAAATGGGTAAGCTAATAAAAAAATTAAAATAAAATAATGGAAAAAAAAAGTGCTTAAGCAGAAATGGATGGCTAAAGCTGCTCCCAGAGATTACAGATTCTTAAGGGAGTTCTTCCTCTAGAGAACCCTGACTAACACAGTTCACTGAACCCAGAGTTTCTGGCGTAGTTACAGCTGAGGCTCAGATAGCATCCTCAAGGCCGCTTTTCCTCCACTGCTGTCTGGCCACCTTCTCAGGCTGCACGTGCTAACACGACAGTGGTGATCGGCCTCCACTGTCCTCCCTCCAGGATTAAATGTAGACATTGAAGTACAATACTGTTTCTCTCTGGGAGCCTTAGCATGTTCCTGCTTCCTCTTGGTGCCGGTTCTTTCACGTGACCATCCCTAAGCCTGTCACTGTAGCCAGGAGGGTGAGATATACAGAGTCTACTCAAGTCATACGTTCGCCTTTACACCTGCGCATTGGCTCGTCTCAGAGTACAAGGACCACAGGGCAGGGGTGGTTTCGGAGGGAAATGGGGGCGCATCACCAGCACAATCACAAATAGATCGCAGGAGACGAAAAGCTTCCGATAACATGCCGAGTCTGCCCAAGCAGCTTTGAGCTTCTAGATATCAAGCCAGACTGAAAGAAATAATATGATATCAAGATACTGTCATTTCTGGAACATACTTTGCGGGGCAAGGATATATTAGCCACAGAAAAATCAGAGATTTGCCGTGATTAAAGTGCCACCTCAATCTTTGTAGGCTTTATAATCATTTAGTGATATCTTTTCAGGGAAACCAACAGAGGAGAAATGGTGTCTCGCTCAGTCTGGCTACTGCTGGCAATTTTGAGAGATATTGTTTTGAAAACCTATTTATTATATGTGTTGAGAAAGTACAAATTGCTTTCAACATTTTTTTTTCTCCCCAGAGAAGTGTGAAGTGTTCTGAAGGCTGCCAACAAAGTGTCAAGTCAGCCAATAGACAGAGCAGAGGCATTATTGTTTCATGGGGACTTACATTCCATCCGAATCTGATTGGCTGACCTGAGCCAAGAGAGGGTAAAAGGCTGCAGTGCTGAGCGAGCTTCTTGCTAATGGTTTCTGTGGGAGAGTTGCCACCCTTCATCATTGTAATTCTAGGGGGAATACCTCCAGCTTCAAAGACATCAGCATGCCTCTGCTTGCGTCGCAAAACTTATATCGGGAAAAGAGACCTCAGCACAAATTTCTTTGGGCATCTTTTATTAACAGACTTGAGCCAACTAAGTGATTCTTCAAAAGATTTTCAAATTTCCATGAAGGCAAATAAAATTATTAATCATAAAATATTCATCACGATTTTTGCCTATATTTTAGGGCAAATGTGTAACAGGAATGTTGTGCCAGGGCGGTGATCTGGTAGTACTGGATTCAGAGAGCCCTGATACATGGACTACATAGCAAAGCAGCAGAGGAATGAACAGAGGCAAGATGAAGCCATTCAATATAGGAGTTTCCAAGGAAACAGGATCTCACTGCCCGCTAGGGCAGGTATGTAGGCAGTCATTGAACATGGAGTCATCATAAACCCTTGGTGAACTGGACTCTTGCTTTTAGGGCAGCTTTTTTTTTTTTCCTTGGGATCTTGAAGGGTAAGAATCACTGGGTTGAATTATTTGTCCTTCATGCTGTTTTTGCAAATGAAATCCATATAATGCAGTACTTTTTGGAAGGTTTGTGTGCCGAAATCGATGGTCATTCCCATGGTGCTAAGGTCTTCTAGAGAACAAGCTTGAAAACTTTGATGGTCAAGAAGGAAGTAAGAAGCCAAGGATGGGGCATCTTAGCTGACTCAGAGCTGTGAGGCACCCCCAGCCCCCAGTTTAATTTCTTTTTCTCTCTTTCTCATGTTCCATGTGCTTGGATGCAAAGGTCCAGAAACTTTTTATCTGGACATTGTTTCTCTCAGAAAAGGCCTGAGTGGTAGGATAAAAAGGGGAACTCTTTCAGCTGTTCAAAATCCCTGCCCTTCTATTTGGGGTCCATTCTGGTGGGGTTACTTTCCCTCTACTTTGGAAGGGTTAGAAAAGAAGTCTCCCAGAAACCTTTGCTTCACCCATACTTGGTTCAGCCTAGCTGCTTGGGGACTAGTGAGGAACTGAGACCTCCATGAAGGAGAGAAAGGAGACAAGAAAAGTGACTGCCGAGGTGGCTTCAGAAATGTTGGCATCCTTACTACACCAAAAATCCAGTCCCTTCCCGTCGTCATGACTACCGCAGGGGAATACAGACTGGCCAGTCGGACATCGCTGTTCACGTCCTGTCTCCTAAGCCTTTGCTACTCACAAGCAGAGCATGGAGGACAGGCAGATGGGTGGGGCAAGGCAAAGGATGCGATTGCAATGAATGCATTAAGGATGGGGGATGGGGGAGGATTGAAGCCTCTGGTGCTGGGCTGGAGTTCTTGGGGTCATGATATCACAAAAGTGATAGAGGAGAAGAAACAACCATAGAGAGGCTCTGCTGAGGGATGTGGTGGCAGCAGAGGGCCAGCGAGAGCCTGGTGGCTGCTGCGGTCAGCACATCAATCAGTATTTCTGGACTTTTCACTGACAAGCCCACCCAGGGGTTCCACTTCACTTATTGCCATTGAGAGGGGCAATGCCATCGAGAGGGGCATTGACTCTTCTTGTCTCAGGGGATCGCGGGCCAGTGACAGAGCAGGTGCAAGCCCCAGGCCCCTCCCTCCACAAAGTCAGCAGGAGGAAGATAAAGCATAAAGACTAGCGAAGACCGACGCAGGCAAATCACGGCCAGATCAAAGTTTTCACGTTCAGTCAGGCACAAGTGCTACGGAGATATGGAAGTCAAGGAACTGAGTTTAGAAAGAAGAAGTGGCTCTTCACTTGCTGGCCCGTTTCGCAGAAGAGCACAGAAGGCGCATGGGTTTGGGATGAGGAGGATGCTATGCAAACAGTGAAGAAGATAATTTCCATAAAGTAAGCTGCTGCCACCGCCCGCTCTCCAACGATCTTCAGTCCTTTGGAGACAGGACGCTAGCAATGCACCTGGCTTCTAAGTCATGGAAAGGAAAAGCAAACTGGTGAAAACAGATAGTGACTCATTTGTCCAGAGAGAGGAGAGGAAGGCCTCCAGACACAAGTCAACCAGGGCTCCTGGTTCTAGGCCTTTCTCTCCACACTGCTGTGCTGAGATGTCTGTGTTTAAAGGCTGACTTTCTACAGTTTGGTGCTTTTATTTTTATTTATTTATTTATTTTATTTTATAATTTAATTTAATTTTACATATCAGCTGTGGATTCCCCTGTCCCCCCCCCTTCCCCCAGCCCACTCCCCCATTCCCATCTATGAACTATGAACCAAGTTTGATGCTTTTATTTTCATTTATTATTTATTTATTTATTATTTATTTTATAATTTAATTTAATTTTACATACCAGCCACGGATTCCCCTGTCCTCCTTCCTCCCCCCCTTCCCCCAGCCCCCCCCCATTCCCATCTATGAACTATGAACCAATAGTTTGGTGCTTTTATATCCACACACAGCTCCATTCTGAGCAGGAGGGCTTCTCTTTCCCAAACAATGAGAAGTTCTGAATTGTATCTGAGTCTGGCCAATCTCTGTTGTGAGGGGGAGGGGAGCCTCTTGAAGGAATTTGTGGACCATGGTCAGGTCGATCAGTTTCCTTCACCTTGTTCCCTCTTAGTCGTGGGTGCTCATAGATGATGTTGGAGGGAATGCAGCCAATAATGTCCTTTGTGGAGGAGATCCTTTCTCACCAATAAGAAATGGGGCTGAGCAAGACACAGGGAGCAAGTTGGTAAGCAGCCTTCCTCCATGGCCTCTGCTTCAGTTCCTGTCTCCAGGTTCCTGCCCGGCTGGAGTTCCTGCCTTGGCTTCCCACAATGATGGGCTGCAACCTGAAAGCCAAATAAACCCTTTGCCGTCCAAGTTGCTTCTGGTCATGGTGTTTTATGGCAGTGATAGAAAGCACATTGATAGACCAGAGCAAGGAACAAATGGCTCGTGTTGAGGCAGCGGGAGAGGAAACAGAAGCTGCAGGCCATTCTTTCTGCTATGATCTTGACAGACACGGGCTTTTGGTTGTTTCTGTCTTGTTGAGACACAAGAAATCGGTGCTAGCAATACCACCCACACACAGCACCACGTCTCCCTGTGCATAGCTAACTCGGAAAACAGCGTGTCCTCCTTACTCTCTTTCTGTCTTTACTTCTTTTTTAATTAATTTTTTCATTTATTTTACATCCTGACAGCAGTTCCCCACCCCTCTCCTCCTGCTCCCTCTCTCGGCCTCCCCTCTGCCCTGCCCCCATCCACTCCTCCTTCATCACTGATCAGAAAGGGCAGGCCTCCTGTAGCAAAGCATTCTGTAGACTGCTGTTTTGTCATATTGACCCTATCCTTTGCCTTACAGAAGCTTTTCAGGTCAGGTGGTGCTTTGAGTCAGGCACAATGCCTCAGCATACCATAGCCACAGCAGACACAGAAGAGGATGCCCCCTTACTGACTCCTTTAGGGCAGGCCTTCCTTCTCTCAGGTGCAGAGAGTCTATGTCAGGGACTGAGTGTGAGAGAATGCTGAGGTGGCTGGATGGTTAAAATCCCTTTGGTTCTGTATTCAGGATATTGAGATATAAAACTTTGCCATGGCAGCAAACAGCACATTTGAAGAAACAGGACAGTGTGTCTCCTGTGATCAGAGGCATATAAGAAAGTGGCCAGATTGTAGACCTTGAGTGAGTAGCTGTGGCTTGTTCTACAGCAGGGCTCCCATGCATCTCCTCCAGTGGTCTGTCTTTGGGTGAAATTTCCTTTCAAATTGGAAATTATTTTCCAGGCATAAGGGCCTACATCTACCTGATTGCGTACTTCATCCTGGAGCTCACTGTTATTCTTGGTGTGAGGACCTCTTTTGCTTATTTTGATTTTCCCCAATTTTTCCTCATCCCATAGATGCTCATTCTAATATGTTTTATGTGCATCCTTTCGCACCACCTTCCACTTGCTTATTCAGACAAATCTGTCTTAAAAATATAGTCTGTGGTGTGTGTGTTTATTACACAAATGCTTCTGTGCTATAGACCTCATTTTGTTATTTTTCCTACTCAGTCTGTTTTATAGATTTATCCATGTTGCTATACAAAAAAAATCCAATCCATTTTCACTTCTCCTCCAGGACATCATTCCATTATGGGTAAATGCCACAATTATTTTCCCAGACAGAAGGAACGCTAGGTCATTTACTTTCCTGGTTATCACAAGCAACACGGTGGTGAACGTTCTTACTGCTTCCTCGGTGTCCTTGGGCTGCTGTCAAAGTTTCTTCCAGATAAATGTCCAAGTGTGAGGGAGGCTACTTTCCGCCGCTTGCTTCTGCCACAGTGACTCCAGATGTCACCGTGCTGTTTATTCTCCCCTGAGACTGAACTAGATTGTAACTGCTTAATTTTGGCTGACAAATGAGTGTTTTGTGTTGGTATCAGCTCTTTTGTGTTACATTGAGTGACCAGTGTCTGAGCTGTTGAGACCACTGGATAAAACATGGTGTTTGAAAGTTTTCTTGTTGAGTCCTCTGATAATAATGAAGCTGAGCATTTCTTCATATTTTTGGATTTCTTTTATGTGATTTTCCCCAAATTCATTTGCCTTCCCCCCCCTACCCTTTGCTTGATGATATTTTAGAGAAAACAAACAATTTACTTGGAAATTACAATGTATTTAGCTGTATTATTGACATATAGGTTATTTTTAGTTTGGTAAAACAAGATTGATTTAGTATTTGAAAAATCTATTAATATAATTTGCCTTCGTAACAGACCAACATAAAGGAATTGATTCATCTTAATAGGAAAGAAGAAACATTTGGCAAAATTCAAAAGTGCTTTTTTTTTTCCAGGCTTCTTTTTTTAATTTTTTAAATTTTTGTTTACATATCTCCTCCATGGCAAAGACTCCCCTGAGGATTGAGTTCAACTTGGTAGATTCAGTCCAGGCAGGTCCAGTCCCCTCCTCCCAGGCTGAGCCAAGTGTCTCTGTATAATCCCCAGGTTCCAAACAGCCAGCACATGCACTAAGGACAGGTCCCAGTCCCACTGCCTGGATGCCTCCCGAACAGATCAAACTAATCAACTGTCTCACTTATCCAGAGGGCCTGATCCAGTTGGGGGCTCCTCAGCTATTGGTTCATAGTTCATGTGTTTTCATTCGTTTGGCTATTTGTCCCTGTGTTTTTTCTAACCTTGGTCTCAACAATTCTCGCTCATACAAACCCTCCTCTTTCTCGCCAATTGGACTCCTGGAGCTCCACCTGGGGCCTGGCCGTGGATCTCTGCATCCGGTTCCCTCAGTCATTGGATGGGGTTTCTAGCACAACAATTAGGGTGTTTGGCCATCCTATCACCAGAGTAGGTCAGTTCGTGCTGTCTCTCGACCATTGCTAGTAGTCTATTGTGGGGGTATCTTTGTGGATTTCTGTGGACCTCTCTAGCACTTTGCTTCTTCCTGTCTCATGTGGTCTTCATTTATCATGGTCTTTTATTCCTTGTTCTCGATCCAGCTGGGATCTCCTGCTCCCCTGGGATCTCCTGCTCCCCTAAGCTCTCTTTCCCTCAACCCTTGCTCTTCATTATCCCCACTCACATCCATGTTGTTCATGTAGATCTCAACCATTTCTCTGTCATTGGGCGATCCTGTGTCTTTCTTGGGGTCCTGTTTTCTATGTAGCCTCCCTGGAGTTGTGAGTAGCAGTCTAGTCATCTTTGTTTTACATAATTTTTGACAAAGAAGCCAAAACTATACAATGGAAAAAAGAAAGCATTTTCAACAAATGGTGCTGGCATAACTAGATATCAATGTGTAGAAGGCTGCAAATAGATCCATGTCTGTCACTGTGCACAAAACAAAAAAAAAAGTCCAAGTGGATCAAAGACCTCAATATAAATCCAGCTACTCTGAACCTGATAGAAGAGAAAGTAGGAAGTAGTCTTGAATGTATTGGCATAGGAGATCACTTCCTAAATATAACACCAGTAGCACAGACACTGAGAGAAACAATCAATCAATGGGACCTCTTGAAACTGAGAAGCTTTTGTAGAGCAAAGGATATGGTCAACAAGGCAAAGCAACAGCCTACAGAATAGGAAAAGGTCTTCATCAACCTCACATCTGACAGAGGACTGATATCTAGAATATATAAAGAACTCAAGAAATTAGACATCAAAACGACCAACAGTCCAATTGAGAAATGGGCTTTAGAACTAAACAGAGAATTCTCAACAGAGGAAACTCAAATGGCTGAAAGACATTTAAGGAATTGCTCAACGTCCCTAATCATCAGGGAAATGCAAATCGAAATGGCTCTGAGATACCACCTTACACCTGTCAGAATGGCTAAGATCAAAAACACTGAAGACAGCTTATGGTGGAGAGGATGTGGAGCTAGGGGAACTCTCCTCCACTGCTGGTGGGAATGCAAGTTTGTACAACCACTTTGGAAATCAATATGGTGCTTTCTTAGAAAATTGGGAATCAATCTCCCCCAAGACCCAGCTATTCCACTCTTGGGCATATACCCAAGGAATGCTCAATCATGCCACAAGGGCACTTGCTCAGCTATGTTCATATCAGCATTGTTTGTAATAGCCAGAACCTGAAAACAACCTAGATGTCCTTCAATTCAAGAATGGATAAATAAAATGTGGTACAAAAGTACTTTTTGATGAAACTCTCAGAAACCATTTCCTCAACTTGATAGAACATTTATTAAAGTGAACAAACATCAGCAACAAACAAGCCAGCTGTGGTGGCTTCTGCTGGCAATCCTGGGACTCCGGGACTCCGTAAGTCATGTTAGGAGGCCAGTCTGAA